CTGTATAATTTATTGTGTCATCATGGCAAAAAGTCTCCACTAGATCCCTCAATTCTTCATGGAAAGTAGTGGTGGGAGGGTGTACTGCCCGCCCCACTCAGACGCACACCTCCCACAGTACACTGTAAAGACTGGTAAGCACCCTGCCTCGCTTATGGTTTGGGCTTCTTTTACGTATTATGGCGTTGGTGAACTAGTAATCCTCCCTAAGAACCAGATGATGAATCAGTACAACTATCTTGAACTGCTCAGTGATTTCTTACCTGAATCATTTGATAAAGCTAAGGCAAGCCTTTTCATGCAGGACGGTGCCCCATGCCACACTGCTAAAAGTGTCATATATATATATATATATATATATATATATATATATATATATATATATATATATATATATATATATATATATATATATATATATATATATATATATATATATATATATATATATATATATAATACCCCTCGTTTAACACCCCTGTTAACGTAATTTCGATTAACGAACTGCCTTCCATAAGGATCTTCAATTCGGTTAACGAAAAAAAATTCGCTTAACGAACTTCTTACGAACCGACCTCAACATGTTTTCGCTTGCACTGACCGGGCAACCAGCTTTAGTATCAGTCCGCCAATACATTAATCGGTTCTAGGGCTTAAATTCCTTACTATTTTTGTAAATATCAAGAAGTTTATACTATTCAATAATTTTAAAAGTTTAATATTCAATTTTTTAGTCATTTTAACAATTATTGAACAAAATTGAAGGTAAAGTGACTAGTTTAATGCGCGGCATCCAGCCTCTTAACACAGCAAACAGGCGTCAGTCTCTCTCTGTTTTCACTGGAGGTAACATCTTGCTTGAGACTCTCTTCAACTAAATGCTTTTTTTCTGTGTTTCCAAGCAAATTATTGGTCATTTTGAAATATATTTTATATATTGACAATATATAATGCAGTGCAGCGTTGATTTAAAGAAAATAATCTTGAATTAAACCAGAGAGCTAAAATTTTATGGGTGAAATGGCACCATGGGGTGACTTCTCTTCCACCCCAATGCCTTCTCTTCTTCCTTCTCCTCCACCCCCATTCTAAATCCCATCATCATCATCATCATCCAGGAGCCTTCTACATACACACCTCAAAGTAAGTGAACTTTTCTACCATTTTTGTTGAATTTAGGAAATTTTCGGTGAGCTGGAACCAATTACCCAAAAACCCATTGAAACAATGGTTTCGGTTAACGAACGTTTCGGTTAACGAACGACCTTCTGGAACGGATTGAGTTCGTTAACCGAGGCCACTAATATATATATATATATATATATATATATATATATATATATATATATATATATATATATATATATATATATATATATATATATATATATATATATATATATATATATATATATATATATATATATATATATATATATATATATATATATATATATATATATATATATATATATATATATATATATATATATATATATATATATATATATATATATATATATATATATATATATATATATATATATATATATATATATATATATATATATATATATATATATATATACAATATACAGGAAAGAAGAAAACACGAAGTTCCCAAGCACGTGTTTTCTTCTTTCCTTGTGGTTATCAGCATATACCTAGATCACGCGCACCTACAGTGATTTACTTGCATATATATATATATATATATTTCATTAGCCCATAAAGCGTGCGGACTTCTACATATAATCAACAACCTCACCTGCCAGGAATCGAACCCACTATCTTATGTGTGTGACTGGGGAATGTTACCTCTAGACCACTAGGATACTAAAAGCAGTCCGAGACTTTGTTATATTTCACACAAAGCCTGTTCATCGAGCTTATGGCACCATGAACCTCCAATAGGGGACTTTCCGTGCCACTTAAGTAATCAGAGTAACTTTTTACCAAATCCGGCTTCAAAACACGAGGTTCCATATATATTTCATTAGCCCATAAAGCGCGCGGACTTCTACATATAATCAACAACCTCACTCTGACTGATTTAAAGGAAGGGAGCGTAGTCTTTGCTCCGATGGGTGGGGGTAAGTTGTTCCACACCTTCACACCATGATATTTTATGGAGGTCTGGGACTGAGAGGAGCACATGGGACGTGGTCTTAGTAGCTCTGGGTGCCTAAGTTGTATCTCTGATTATTCTGGAACTGGAAATAATTATTGTCAAGCAAGTGATTGATAGATTTGTTTGTAAACAAAGAGGGCACAGCAGTAGGTGTTAATAAATCCTTATTTTAAAAATTTCAAAACTGTATAACAAATTTTTCGTTTGTGTGATCTGATTTTTTTCAAGTAGGTCATTGTCCATACAACTCTCTTTTGTGCAGTAACCAGAGATTGTGTTTTTGAAGAGCCAGAGGCCCCCCATAGTGTGTGACAGTGTATCAGGTGTTGGTAAACAAGATCATGATAGATTTCTTTCATTGCTGTGAGAGTGAGCGACTGTCGAGTGTGATACATGATACCGCACTGTTTATTGATTTTACTGTGAATGGCTTGTATGTGGTTTCTCCAGTTATGTTTCTCATCAACAATAACTCAAAGGAATTTAGTATTTTGTTCACGTTTGAGGACTATATTACCAAGGTACAGGGGGTCCAGGTCTGGGGGTAAGTTTTTCTTTCTGTGAAAGATCGTGCCCAAAGGACTTAATAGACGACTATAAACATTGCTCAGTTGAGTTTTCATACCTGGAGCTGGTAGATGCCCACCCTACTAGGGGTCACAGCTTAAGGCTGAAGAAGCCATAAGTTCAGAAAATTGTCTGGGCAAACGTTTTTGGAATAAGAGTTGTTAAACTCTTGGAAATATCTGCCAGAGAATGTTGCAACGGCACTGAGTGTGAGCTTATTCAAGACCAGACTTGACCGACACTGGTGCAGATAATGATACATTCTGGAGCCAGTACATGCCAACAGTACATAACAGAGATGAAAAAACTGCCCATGCATTAAACAGGCCAATCAGTCACAAAGAGGATAAAGTAAAGTAAAGGACGCTCACCCCACATGAGGTCACAGCTAAAAGTTGAAGAAGCTACAAGTCCAGAAAACTGTGAGGGATAACTTTTTCGGAATGGGAGTTGTGAACTCTTGGAACAACCTGCCAGAGTGTTGTGACAGCACCGAGTGTGAGCTCTTTCAAGACCAGACTTGACCAACACTGGAACAAGTTCAGATACATTCAGGAGCCGGTGCACGCCCAGTACTTGCCAACAGTGCATAACAGAGATGTGACCAATCGCCCAAGCAGCTAATGAGCCGATCAGTGGCAAAGAGGATAAAAGAAAAAAAGTAAAAAATATCTGAAGGATATGTGTTCTACTCCACCCTCCGGTCATACAATTGTAATTTAATACAAAAAATAATTAACATACCTAAATATACACTTGGAGATACTGTTATGCTGTACATTAATAAATTAAATATGATTGCAGCCTTTTGTGGTTATAACTGTTGTACACTTTATACAGTATATTAAAGAAGTATAACTGGTCTTTTATTTGTAGACTGTAATAAATATATTCCTAGAAAACTTTTTCGAGTCACTTTTTTGTATTATTGTATGTATGAAATGTTGAACAAGAGAGATGTTTAGAATGCTCTTTGTAGTTCATCTTATTCTATATCACTGAAATGGCATATTGGATATAAACAGATACAGGTTGACAATCCCTTATCCGAAATCCTTGGGGCCAGAGGCATTTATGATTTTGGAATTTTTCGGTTTTCAGAATGGTTTTTTAGCCCAACCGGGCACAAGTCACTGACCCACATTGAGGCCTGGGGGGGGGATATAATAATAATAATTCATAGGTTTAGGTCGTGTTTCTCACTTTTTATCTTTTTTCATTCTTGTATTTCTTTATTATTATTATTATTATTATTATTATTTTATTAATACAGTATTATTGTTATTATTATTATTATTATTATTATTAATTTTATTATTATTATTATAATTATTATCATTTTATTTGGTGTATTTTTATAAATTTTATTTACTATTAATTATTATTTTTATTATAATTAGTATTACTATTACATTTTCGCTCCCCCAGGCCCACATCGGGGCCTGGGTGGGCTAATCCTTGTTAAAAAAAAAAAGTTTTGTTCCACAAAAAAACTTTTGGTTTTCAGAGCTTTTCGGTTTTCGGAATTTTGGATAAAGGGTTGTCAACCTGTAGAACAGAATAGTATTTATATGTTTTTTCCGTCTTCATCTTCATTACTTTAATATACAGTACATCCTTCAACCCTTTGTATTCAAGTGTATATTCAGTGACACTACGTTATACAGTGATATCCCCGTCAGCCGGTACAATCGGTGCAGAGCACTTCTGGGAATGAAAGATTTCCGATAACAAGACGACTCTCTCAAAGCCGGAAGAAAATACCTCATTCCCGGAATTTTCCGGGTAACGGAAAAATATTCTCGGAATTTCAAGAAAATGTGCCTGATTTTCATCTCTCAAACCCGGAAAAAACTCCCCCATCCCCGGAATTTTCCGGATATCGGGAAAATTTTCTCTGAAATTTTGCCCCCAGAAAATTGTTCCCAAAGCTTTGGGAACGATTTTCCGAGAAAATTTCAATTCCGGCTATCAGAGAGTTCCGGGTTTAAGGGATTCCGGCTAATGGAGATATTACTGTATTTGCTTTACATTCCAATATCCAAACTGATTGTACAGTCGGGACAAAAGTTCACTCCTCGTAGTGAAACTGAGTCTCAGGAATGAGTCTAAACTGACTTACCCTGAGAGTCTCATCTCAATTGGTGTCGATGCTCCTTCAATTTGGGTGGGAGTGAACTTTTGGTCCCGACTGTACAATACAGTGTATGTGAGTCCTCAATTTCTAAATTCAACACCTTTGCCTACTTCTTCTCCATATGAAGCATATGTCATGTATCTCACAAGTCATGTCCTCCTGTAGATTGTAGGATGTTCTCCAGCTAACTCAAAAGTGATGCACGAGTCAGTGAAAGTGGGTAGAATCATCCAAGATGAGAGCAAGGAAACCCTGTCTGATGGCACTGCTGGTCAGTAAGTCAAGCTGTACAGAAATTTTTTTGTACAGTACTGAGTATTTAGCAATAACTGTGTCATAAAATTTGCTTGTTACAATTTCTGATCACAGTAATAAACTTATGTATATATTTCATCTATTTTATATTTAATTATTTCCTTTCATACATGGAGTTGAACTATATCTGTCCACAAAATAAATAAGCATAGCTTATAAGGCAGACACTGTACTTGAAAGATACCCTATAGCTATCTCTACATATGTTTGCCTTACATACAAGAAGTCCTCGCTTAAAGTCGGGGTTACGTTCCTGAAAACGCAACGTTATATGAAACAACGTCAAGCGGATCAATTTTCCCCAAAAGAAATGTAAATAAAATACAGGAGTTACCTTCCCCAGACTCCCTTTGCCCTGTGAAATACAAACATATACAGAAAATCATTGCCATTTCTATAGAAAATAGTGCATGCATATACAACCACTAAGTTTATATTGGTACTCACCAATGGGCGGAGGTGGTAGAGTGAGTGTGTGGTGGGTAGTGGAGTGGAGGAGGCGGGAGGGGAGGAGGGTGGGAGCAGAGGAGGGTGGTTAGTCACCTAGACTCTGCAGCTGCCTCCTCCTCCTGTTCTGACTGGGGTTCCTCCGCCGCTGTTTGCTCCTCTGTTGATGTTTGCTTCTCCTCCGTTGTTGTTTGCTCCTCCTCGGCTGCTGTGTGCTCCTCCTCGGCTGCTGTGTGCTCCTCCTCAGCTGCCGGCTGTTGTGAAGAAGCTGCTTCTGCCGTCCCACGACGACAAAATGAATCCAGTGTTGACTGCTTGGTGCTACTCTTCTTCTCCTTATAGATCTCAGTGTAACAACCAAGACTGTCATCAATGCTTCATTGAACCTTTGAGCTACGTTCTCTGTTTGGGTCGTCATCTATAAGGATTTGCATTGCTTGCTGGAACATGTTGAATGCTTCTGCCATCCTCTTGTAAGTTAAGAGTTCTGTTAACAGTTGCAGATCTTTGTTGGTGAGCTCTTCTGTATGGGATGCCAGGACGTCCTCAATATCCTCTGATTCCAGCTCATGAAAGCCTGCTTGTTTAGCCAAGCTGAGGATATCCCTATTCACAGCTGGGACTAAGTCCGTGAATCCTCGGGCCACAATTTACGACACGACACACACCATTCAGGCAACTTTCTGAAACCGCTTCCCATGCCTTGCCAATGTTCTCAATTGCATGAAGAATGTTGAAGCCGCCCACAGGCTGCATCAGTGCTGCCGTATTGGGAGGCAGGAATACAACTTTTACACTGTCATGCAAGTCGTCGAGATTGGGAGGATGAGCTGGAGCATTGTCAAGGATCAGAAGAATTTTGAAGTCAAGGTTCTCCTTGGCACAGTATTCCTTCATTGCAGGGACGGCGTACACGTTCAACCACTGACTAAATATGGCGCTGGTTATCCATGCCTTCTAATTTTCCTTGTAAATCACATGAAGGTGATCCTAAGAGTAACCTTTCAGGGCCCGTGGGTTGGCAGCGAGAGAAATCAGCATAGGCTTCAGCTTGAAGTCACCGACAGCATTCGCGCCAAGCAGCAGCGTCAAACGGTCTTTTGCCGCTTTAAAACCTGGCCCTCTTTTCTCCTCCTTGGAGATATAGGTCCTCTCAGGCATCCTCTTCCAAAAGAGATGAGACTCATCCACATTGAAGACTTTCTTCAATGAGTAGCCTCCTTCCTGAATAATCTGCTTGAATTCAGGCGGGAAAGTCTTGCCAGCAACTGTATCTGAACTAGCAGCTTCACCAGTAATTTTTATGTTGTAGAAGTTATAACGACTCTTAAATCGTTGAAACCATCCTCGGCCGGCTGTAAAGGTCTCATCCTTCGATCCTTCACCCTCAGTTTCCTTTATGTCATCAAACAAGGATCTGGCCTCATGCTGGATAACCATAAGGCTCACAGGCACATTGCATTGATTCTGGTCCTCCATTCACATAGCCAGCATCTTTTCCACTTTTACTATCACAGTACCTGTACTTCTAGTATGAGTTGTTTCAGTTGCACTGAGAGTAGTACGACTTCCAGCACTAACCTTAATCTTGTCAGCGTTGATCCGGATAGTACGCACCAATGTGGGGGTTAGGCCAAGCACAGCGGCTATGTCCACAGCGCATTCCCCTTTTTCAAATTGGGTTAATACATCCATTTTCATAGCAAGGGTAATGGTCTTACGTTGCCTCTTCACTACACTAGCATCAGGAGCACTTGATGGGCACTTGAAAGCCATTTCGAATGGTTAGAGTACAGTTTTAGAGCAAAAGCACTTAAGCACACACGAATGATGTGAAGTAACAGAGATTAACTTGGTGTCGCTCGAGGATGTGACGTTACGCGAGTGAGGGTAGAACGCCGAGCCGAGAGCGTAGCGCGGCCACACGAGAGAGGGTGATGCGCCGTAAAAAGTAGTCTGTGATAACGCAAAACTACGTTGTACCGAATCACCGGAACGTTAAAACATTTTTTGGTCTCTAATGTTTAGCGACGTAGTACAGATAAAACGTTAAGCGGGACGACGTTAAGCGAGGACTTACTGTATATTGGTTGGTTCGATGTGTTTATTTGTTTGCTTGCACACTAGAATCCCTAAATTTGGTCCTATCTTTATAAAATAAATGTATTTTGGGCAATGAAAGGCCAAGAATTACAACTACAGTATTACTAAAGACTTTAAACACCAAGTTGTTCGTGTACCAGCACTTTCAAGATTCGTAACGACACAAACAGATGAAGGAATTATATTATCAAAATTCAGATTTACCTTTCAGGTAATTAACATCTACAATAACGTAAGAGTGTTATTAATGGCAGTTGAAAAGTCAAAAACAAAGAACATTAAGAATGGAAATTAAATGTTTTCCTGTAAATACAGTACTGTAGATAAATATATAATCCAGTAACTAGTCACTGTGTTTTAGGTATTGTACTGTACTGTACAGTAGTGCAGTTTTATTATCTTACCAGTACAGGTATACGAGTTTATGACAGTATGTTTGCAGTCCATATATATCATTTAAAAAAGATTTCTGTATAGTATGTCTAAAGAATATATTTTCTTTACTTCCCAAAGGTGGAATAGAAGAATTTACTGTGACTTTCCCCTTGTGCCGAGACTTGGTGGACCAGTGGGTCTTAGTAGAGGAACATGAGATAGCTGAAGCTGTCTTTTATTGTCTAAAGAACCATAAGAAGGTAGGAAGGTTACGACATGCTATCATGTGAAATCATAAGATTTTAATGAAAAATCTTGATTTTGTACTTGTAACTCATCAGAAAAAGTTAAGTAGATCATCTAAGGTGTGTACTCCTGGTTCAAATAATAATTAGTGAGTTAATCTTGGTTGTGTACTACTAACTCACAGAGCAGATGACTCTTAGTCATTCATGGTACATTGGCAGTGCTCTCACTTGCCATCTGTGGTTTTTCAATGAAGTAAAAACATATTACAGTACCATACTGTACAGGTATATGTAATCTTGATAAGGAGTACTGTACTGGTTAAGTTCCTGGGCCAGCAATGGCAGGCCAGGTTCAAATGAATTTTAACCATTCATATTACAGTGGTAGTGACCTTACTTGGCATCTTTGTTGTGTTCGTTCAAATCAAATAGAGACAGTGGTTTTAAGAGGTAACACTACAGTATAATATGTTCCTTAGGTTTTTTATATCTCTACTAGGGTTAACTAATATCCTTATCATTAATTAATTAATCCCTAACTATAGCAAATATAGGTTATAGGTTATAGTAGTTCAGTACTCAATCAATTGTAACACGTGATATCTTCCTCATACAGGATACAGTACAGTAGCAAATGAATGAGAAAGTAACAAGATCCAGTAGATTGAGGTCCCTAGTTGGAGATAAAATACTAAATGTAGAACTTTTTTAAATTATTCTTGAGTTATAAACCTATAATATATCAAGTTTCATTGAAATACAATGCTATACAGTAATTTTGAGTTCACAGAGTTGGATTTGCAATTGAACAGGAAAATAAATGAGGCCATAACTTCCCAGAACAAGGAGGAATGTAGTACAGTACTGTACATGTACAGTTCTGCACTATGGTAGTTATCCATCTTCAAGAAGCCCTCATTAAACCAAATACTGAACTGTATCAAAATTCTCATTAAGTTTGTTCACAAAATAGGACTTATACAGTTAAGACCAATGGACAGTACGGCCTGTATTTATTTCCAGGTCCTCTTCTGCTACATAGTGAGGAACAATAAATGTTATTTAGAGCAATGAAACAACAGTGAGAGATATGTCAATATTCTTGTTGTTATTTAAACCTGTTTTAAATTGTCTTTCCTAGGTGGTGGAAGGTGCTGCAGGGGTGGCATTGGCAGCTATGAAAAAAGTTAGTGCTAACTTCAAGGGTCTCCGTGTAGCTGTTGTCATCTGTGGTGCTAATATCAGCATGACCAATCTTAAGAATATCATCACCACCTATGCTTGAAGGATGCTTTGGTGCTTGGTAAGTGCCTAGAATATCTTACAACAAATTTTGTAAGGATTAGGGATATGAACTGGCAGGGCACAAGGGGAAGAGAACACTTTTTTATAATATACAGTACCTGGCATGCACAGTAAAGCCAGTAATATTAACATACAGTAGTACCCCGATTTATGCGGTCAATTGAACCCACAGGGTACCGCGGAAAGTGAAAACCGCATAAAGTGAACAACAGAACATATGGGATTAATTCCAATAGAGACTGGCCCGACCCCCAAACTCCACTTTTTCCGACACAATACCTATGTTGTAGTAAAAATAACATCTAAATTTTATGATGGTATGCTCACACAATTAATATTTAAGAGAAATACAGTCACCAGGTTAATGTCCATTCAAATAATAGACTCAAATCCCCCCTCCCCTCTTCCCAGCTCACTGGCCCCTACCTCTCTGAGAAATGATTGGGTGAAACACTAGATTTAAACGTTTAGTAATAAATAATACCTCAGACTAAAGTTAGGATAATATAATTGACATTTCTGGATTCCTTGCAGGTCAGGGAATATTTTGTATGTAAACTTCATATATTTTGCACAAAAGATAAAATACTTGCTTTGTGTAAACCAAATTATTACATTAGATCTAAAATTTGTATGTCTAATGCAAAATCCATGATGTTTATATTCAAAATGATCATCATATTGTAAGAATTCCAGCAATGTAAATTATATTCTGGCTGGGTAATTTGTATGAACTTTATGAGCTAAATAAAAAAAATAAAAAAATAAATTATACTTCACCGCGTATATGAGTATATGCACCGCGGAAAGTGAAAGTCCGGTTGTGGCAAGGTACTGCGTAAATGAGAAATCTGAGAAATCGCGGAAAGTAAAGCGGGTATTACTGTGTATACATATATATAATGGTTTTGTTGCCTATCTTTAGTCAAAATGAATTACTGTTTACGGTACCATTGTTTATATACCCAGATTGTTTGGTACATTGTAAATTGTTTGTATACCTGAACGGTCAATGTATTGTACAGCAGTATTGTATACTGCATTGCCTATATATCTGCTACATTGTATACATGTGCAGTATTGAACTGTTAATATACATGCTTAATTGTATACGGTATCTGTATTGCCTATATAGTGTACAATAAGGTACATACTGAATTAATGTAAACTTGTGATATAATTTTACTGAATAAATATCAATATCTAAATGTAAGAATCAACAGTTTATAATACTGTATTTTAGTTGTTGTTTTTTTACCTGAGAATTGATTAATGCCATCTTCTTTATCATGATGATGTTGATGCAGTGCCATATTAAAAAGATAAGGTATGGGGGCTTTTAATTTCACCTTGAAAGAATATGTAAATAAGAGGGGAGTTAATACAGGTACAAAGAATCACTGTAAGTGGTGTTAGACATGCATCCACAGAGATAAATTGATCATCATGCTATCCTAAGTTACTGAAAAATGTAAGTGGTAAAATTAATCGACATTTCTGTAAGAATAAGTGAATGTTTGACATTTGTTAACAAACAAACAAACATGAAATTCATGTTCTGCACACAAAATTCCTGGTCACGCGTTGCATTTACAATATGTATTGCAGTACAAGTATTTTTTTTTTCCCACTGATCGGCTCATTAGCGGCTTGGGCAATCGGTCACATCTCCGTTATGCACTGTTGGCAAGTACTGGGCAAGCACCGGGTAGTGAATGTATCTGAGCCTGCTCCAGTGTTGGTCAAATCTGGTCTTGAAAGAGCTCACACTCGGTGCCGTCACAACACTCTCTGGCAAATTGTTCCAAGAGTTCACAACTCTCACTCTGAAAAAGTTAACCCTCACAGTTTTCTGGGCTTGCAGCTTCTTTAACATTGAGCTGTGACCCCTTGTGGGACGAGCGTCCGCCAGCTCCAGGTAAGTGTACATGTTCTGGGTACTAAGTTCTACCTACAGGAGCAAACACAAACACCTGTAGAGTTCTTTGTAGGTTCTATTTGCTGGACATACAGAGGTACAAGCAAGACGGCACTCCCTACTCTGACTAAGTGTCAACTGAGCCCTCAGGCGACATGTGGCAAGTGATACATGTAGCAGCTTCCATATGTCGCCAGGCACATTATCTAAGCGTGTGGGACAAAACAAATATATTGCCACACGCTGCTGGCTAGGCTAAATAAATACTATATATGAATGGAATACATAACATACATACAGTAAGGACACTTGAGTAAGTAGTGCCCTTTGAGATGTTTATACACCTCAATTAGGTCACCCCTTGCCCATCTGCAGTACCTGTATAAGATTAGGCAATTTCAGGTGCTCTAATCTCTCAGGGTAGCTGAGGTGCTTAAGTGTAGGCCCCAGCCCGGTGGCCCTCCTTTGAACATTTTCAATCAACTGACAGTCCCTAGCATATCTCGGGGACCAGACGAGGAACCACCTCACTCTTGAAGATCGTTACGAGGGACGAACCGTCTAGATATCTGAACGACCTTCTTATAAGACCTAATAATTTAGTTGCCTGATTCACCTTCTTCTCGCAACTTCAGCTCATTGTCAACATACACACCTAGGTCCCTTTCACATTATCTCAATTAATGCAGTTTCTTCGTCCCTTTGGGACATATGATACGCCTTCTTACTGCTGGTACGTCCCAGGTGCAGCCTCTTACACTTCGTGACATTGAATCTTAGCAGCCATTTCTTCGACCATTCTTGAAGTTCACAGAGTTCCATCTGTAGCTCTTCACAGTCTTCTTGGTTCTTAATTTCCCAAAATAGCTTGGCATCATCCGCAAACATTTGTATGGAGGAATGCACAGCATCAGGCATGTCATTTATGAAGCAAACAAACAACAGCGAGCCCAATACACTGCCCTGTGGTACCCCGCTTGCTACAGGTACGTATGATGATTTGGTACCATTAATCACCACACACTGTTTGCGGTCATGGAGAAAGATTCTGATCCATGCTCAGACATTTCCCCAAATCCCATACCCTTCCAGTTTTAGTTTCAGCCTTTCATGGGGTACGCTGTCGAAAGTCTTGGTAATATCTAGGTATATATTTTCGATATTACCACCTTGTTACAGAGTTGGGGTCCAAACATCCAGTAACTTGAGTAATTGTGTTAAGCAGGAGTGCCCCGGCATAAAACCATGTTGGCAATCTTGTACAAGGTAGTTTCGTAGCAGATGTTCCATCATGGCATCTCTTATAATGCTCTCAAGTACTTTACGTACTATGCTGGTTAGGCTCATCAGTCTATAGTTATTCATGGAGTGACAATCACCCTTCTTGAAGATAAGACTCACATAAGCCATTTTCCAATCACCGGGGACCTTTTGCTCATCCAGGCATTTACAGAACAGGATCTTCAGGGGCTCAGCAAACTCGTTGCACAACTCTCTTAGCACTCTGGAATGCACCATATCAGGGCCAGGACTCTTATGAACCTTTAGCTTTGATAGTTTATTTCTTATAACCTCTTCTGTGAACACAATGTGGGTCAGCGCTGTGTCGAACCGTCTGTCCTCAAACGCAGGAAGATTGTTCACATATTCTCTTGTGAACACCGAGGAAAAGAAACTGTTCAATGCCTCAGCTTTGTCCTGGTCAGATTTTGCATAACTACCATCTTCAAGTCTCAGGTCTGATACTCCTACTTGCGTTTTAATTTCGACTTTACATAGAGGTAAAACGTCTTTGGGTTTGACTTGACCTCGCTTTCAACCAGCCTCTGGAACTCCTTTTCAGCACTTCTACACTCTGACTTTGCTTGGTTTCTGGCTCTTGCATACATCCTTCTCTCCTGCTGATCATTTCACCTAACCCAAGCCATGAATTTTTGGGTGTTCTTAACTCTGTTGACCACTGGAGGCAAGGGGTTTGCTCTTGGGTATATATTTCTCGATTAAATGGTTCACTGTACTAGCTATGATATTCAACGTAGTGCCTGCGTTCTTATGCCTTTAGAAGGCAGGACATTGGATACCCCTCATCTCCTCCCTCATCCCGTCGTAATTTCCCTTGTAATATTTGCACTTTGGCCTGGTTTTGTCATGAACTAAGGTAAGTAACAGTACATGGTGGCTGGTGTCAACTGGGACTAGATGTTCCAGTTTAGTCACCATACCCTCCTTGTTTGCTATGATGAGGTCAAGTGGCTTGGGTGTTTGTTTCCCTCTGTAATGCATCGGGTTTTTAACATGTTGGAACAGAAAAGTATCTCTCAGAGTTTCTACAAAAAGAGTAGCTGGGTTATTTATGTCATTTGGCGGGAACTCATTTCTTGAGTCAACGTCGTCATAGTTAAAGTCCCCCATGATAAGGAGGTGGCTAGGGTTGAGCATCGCTGCATTGTCTGTAAATGCTCTTAAATTTCCTTTGGTTTAGTAAGCTACAGTTTGGGGATCTGTAGATACACCCGACAATAAGTCTCCTCCCTTTAATTTGATTTTACACCACTTGGATTCCTCTAAAACATCCTCTCCCTGTACTCTCGCCTGGCTGGCTCTAAGGTCTTGCCTAGCATAGATAACTACACCCCTCTTGCTAGTTTCTTGAGAAAGGTTCGTAAATAAGTCATATCCGTCATTACTAAACTCATATTCCTCTGGGTCGATTCTCCTGTTCTTATACAACAGTTATACAACTCCTACTAAGTCGGGTTGGTGTACCTTCAGTAGTGTCTCAAACTCCTCTCTTTTATCAAAGAACTTGTCAGTATTAGTGTACATGGCATTCACGCCGGAGTTTGCTTTCGGTAACGTCTGCCGTTCGTAGTAACTCCGGCCCCCCTCCATTCTCAGCAGCTGCAGCATTTGCTAAATACACTGTATTTTGCAGGGTGTGGTTAGAAATGTCATTGTTTACACGGTGCTCGCCTCCTCCTGGATGGGAGGTAGAGTGGATGGAGGGTGTACCGCTGCCCTCTCGCTCTATTCTGGCGCTCTTGCTTCCATTACCCTCCCCCTGGATATAACCCATGTACACCCGTCGCCGTTCCTCCTCAACTCCTTCCTCTGCTGCTTAAAGCCCTGTAGGAGCTTCTTGTGCTGTTCCCTCTGCCTGACAGGTGCGATCCGGGTGAATGAATACATTCTG